TTCTTCTATATTTATAGTATTTTATAAAGGCAGCTTTGTTTACCTGCTTATATTGGACTAGGTTTGGCGTCTTTGTTTCTAGACTCTTAAAGGGATATGAGCAAGTAGTCTAGGTCCAAATGTATGTGGTGTTAAAGAAATTTAAATAAACCTGATACCATAATTAAGATGAGCAAATTGTCTTTGTCTAATTTAAAGTCACTCACACGCAAGTTGGCTTGAATACTCCACTCATGGTAATTATTAGGTTCACTTTCTGTTTAGTAGACTTATAATTTGGCAAGTGATAGAGAATTGGCTAGAGTACTAACAGGATAGCTTAGGGGCTTTTATAGACTTAGAAAAAGCATATAATGAAGTGGAGAGAAGGATGCTTGTATCAGTGCTGAGGAAATATGGAATGTCTGATTTAATAACTATGGTGAATGCATTATATAGATCACCTACAACAATCACCTGAACATGGTTTTAGAATGAGAAGCACCTTTGAAGTGAAAGTTGGACTGCATCTGGGGCCAGCCCTCAGTCCTCTGCTGTTTGTTATATTGATGGACTATGTCAACAGGAAGATCCCAATAGGAAAAGGTGAGAGACTGCCATATGCAGATGACATAGCAATAATGGCTTCCTCAAAAGAAGTCCTAGAGGAAATAGTAAACCAGTGCTATGACCAGCTAAGTAGGCATGGGATGAAATGAGCATGACGACTGAGTGTGTCAGTAGAGGTGCCACAAGGAAATTGGATATATAGAGGTTAATGGAGTACAGCTAAACCAGGCTGACCCGTTTAAGTACCTTGGTGGCTGGGTTACAGAAGATGGCGAGCTTGAATGTGAGATATAGTCCAGACTGGGGAGTGCTGGAAGAGTGTGGAATAACATCTCAAGTGTTGTCTGACAAGCATATGCCACTGAGATAGAAAGCCCAACTGTGTAGAACAACGGTGCAAACGCATTGGTGGTAAAGAGATAGCAGGTTCAATATCAGCAGGTGTTTGAGATGAGATGTCTTTGCTCTATAAAAGGAGTTACACAAAGAGACAGATTTCTAAATTGAAGTATTAGGATGGAAGTCAAAGTTCATGTTGTGGCTGATAAAATCCAGGAAGCATGACTTCACTGGTTTGGACACATACAGAGGATGAATGAAGAGATCCTGGTGAAAATAATGTAACAGCAGAGGGTGGTAGGAAAGAAACCCTGAGGAAGCAATGGATAGATTGCATTGAAGAATATGGTAAGCAGGTGGACCTTGGACAGATGAAGACATCAGATGCTTATACAATGACCCAGCCTCAGATGATGAGATAAGGGGAAGAAGTGAACAGAGAAGGAAAGAGGCAGGAGTAAATAAATCAGATAGAAAAACTAAGTGGTAAAGGGAGGGGGATAGAAATGACAGCAGGAAAGATGCAAGGAGAGTATGCATGTGCATTATGTAGGCCACCCTCTTTTGCCATCTACTTCAGGTGTCTGGGATCGTCTATCTATAATACATAACATATGTTTCCTTTTTAACTAGAAAAATATTTCTTGTTTTCTTTTTTAAGTGAATCACCCTCTGAAGGAAATGAGTTAAAATTATGCAGAAATAAGGTTCACAGACTCAACTAGTGTGCAACCTCCAATTCCATATTTCCTCCTTTCTACTGATAGTAAACTATATAGGCATCTAGCATCAAAGGCATCTCTGTGGCTTAACTTGGCTAGCTAAACCAAAGTATAGCAAACCAATGCATTGTGCCTGTAGAAAACTCCCACTAGCAAGGAAACTCAAACACAAATAGTAAAGCTGAAAAGGAAATAATCGTGAAAGTAATAGAAATGACCGTACCAGAGTCACCTCGGAGTTGTCTTCAAGGATACATATAAGCACTTTGTGCCCAATTCTCCCCTCACACCAGTTTTACAGGGTGAATTCCATTGACTTCAATGGGTTCACTCCAGTCTTACACTCCTGAGAGCAGAATTTGGGTCTTTCTGTTTGGATCAGAGCCTTGTGCAGGGGAGTTCCTTGAGGGCTGACAACATTCTTTTCCCAGAGGCGGCAGAGCAGTAGTCTCCACATCAGGAAGGTGTTGGCATATGCATCCACATAGTTACGGATTAATTAGCCATGTGCCCATTTAAAAAACAAACACACACCAAACCTTCAGCGTAGGGTGGATGAAGCTCCTGCTGAGTGAGCACAGCTCCATAGCACACATGGATATGGGACCCTATTGTCCAGGTTCCCTCCATCCTGGCCCTCATGCAGAGGAGTTGTACTACTTCTGCTGGCCACTAGGCAGCCTGGGAGGTGAGGCCAGGATTTGCCCAATGGTGGAAAACTGTTGGGATTATGTGGTTCTGTACTGGTAATGAACACAAGAGTCATTAATAATGGCACAAAGCAATTCAAGGCACTCACACGATCTACTTTAGTGGCAAGATTACATTAATGAAACTGATCTTAAACATGGTTTTAAACTCTCCCCCCAGGATAATGAGTTTTAAGTATGATTTGCCTGATCATTGAAGGGGAAATGCTTTAGACTGGCAGATGCATGTTGCTTTACCATTTTCTAAACAGCTATGCCTGGCTAGGCAACAGTTATAAAACTACCGCAGCCAACAAACTGCTAGTGCTGTCCTCATTGTAGACAGGCCTTTAAAGAGAAGATGTAAAACAAAGTGAAAACAACCAGCAAACTGGTTAGATTACAGATTGAGTGCTCTTTAATAGTCAATTTGGTGATCAAATAATTCACCATGAAAGTGCCCCTTGAGGCCACTTATTATGAACTGTGATATGCAGATATCCGTTAAAACATGCTCACTGTACTAGTGGGATTTTGTGTCTCACCAATTTCAGTCCTAATCTAGCCAATGTGTGTGTGTTTCTTTGAGGCTTTCCAGGGTGATCAGAGTACTTTTGGGGCTTCTGGTAAGGATCCCTGTTTCATGATCCCATGAGCCTATCTGACTGATGTAGGTTGGCCTTCAGTGGTACCTGTACATGTCACAGCAAAGTTAGAGAAAGGCACTAGAAAGTTTGCTCCAGTACAGGTAGCTGCTGTGTAGGTGTCCCCAAATGCCTCTATCATTACCTTGCAGTTCTGAGCCACACTTGAACAATAACTGGTGGACATGACAACCTTGTTGATACATCTGTGTCAGCAATGTCTGTTTCAGACTGTTAAAGCATGTATTTCAGACCAAATGTACTTTGAACTTAGTTTCTGAGAAGACACCCAACTAACACCCTCCTCATTGTCCTCTTCACAGTAAAATATTTTAAATTGTCGGGGGGGGGGGGGAGAGAGAGCTCAGTGGTTTGCACATTGGCCTCCTAAACCCAGGGTTGTGAGTTCAATACTTGAGGGGGCCACTTAGGGATCTGGGGCAAAAATCAGTATTGGTCCTGCTAGTGAAGGCAGGGAGCTGGACTCAGTGACTTGTCAGGGTCCCTTCCAGTTCTATCAGATAGGTATATCTCCACATATATTATATTATATTATATTTATTTAATTGGGGCAGTGCTCTATGATAATAAAAGGAGGGCTGGTATGTTTAGTCCCTGTCTGAGAGGCTGGAGCTCTGATTACTGGGAAAGCTCAGCAACTTCACTGCTGTGGCAGATCTAGGTTAATCTAGAGCTGGGTGAATGCTGCTAAAAAGGATATTCTGGGACTGCTTATTTGGATTTTTTAATTAACCCATTTTGTATTCATGCCCCTTTGCCTTCACTTTCCATGAATATTCTAGCAAACATGCAGGAAACTTCATGGAAATAGCAAATATTAAGTGAGCAGTAAGTGATTATTGCACTATATTTATGGAGAGCATAGTTTTAATTTGTAATCATGAACATTAATTCATACTGCAAACCTAATTCTCATTCAATCAGGGAAGAGAAACATACTATAAGATCTTGTATGTCTAATAAAAACAATGTGATTCTCTGAGGTGAGGTACTATGGTACAGTGGATAGAGCAGTATACCAGGAGGCAGGAGACCTGGGTTCTATTTCTGCCAATGAGCCTGGGCAAGTCACTTCCCCTCTCTGTGCTTCTGTTTCACCTCCCATGCTTTGTCTGTCTTCTCTATTTAGATTGTAAGCACTTTGGGGCGGGGACTCTTTCTCTCTGTTTGTACAGTGTCCAGAGCAGTGGGGCTATGGTCTTGGTGCAACTGTAAAACAAATGCATAATATTCTCACCACAAACTCATGAACAATCTGCAGACCAGGAATTATTTGGCCATAATGAATACATTTGAGAAAGCAGCAATCTGTTTGCGGGTAATTTTCAAAGAGAAGAGGAGGCAAAGTTAATCAAATCATTCATTATAATTTTTTTGCCCAGATCGCTCTCTTTCCCAAAATAGCCCATGTCCCAGCAGCCTTCCTCATTGCTGGGGTCCAACCTAACAAAAGCACCCCTATTTATTTCCTGACTCTGCATGATTCACAAGGAAAACATGGGCTAGATCTCAGGTGTTATAAATTGGCATAGGTCCATTAAAGTCCAACTGCCTCCTTTTAAAAACATAGAACCAGATCTTCAGGTCCTGTTAAACTGGTGTAAGTTCTTTAAAGTCAATGGAACTCAGCCAGTTTACAATAGCTGAGAATCTGGCCCCATGTTTTTAAGAATCAGGTGTATATTCAGCTCTTGGATGGCTTGATTGACACAGTGTGCCTTGCTAGCCACCATAGTGCTCTGTCCGACTCAATAAAGCATACTTTCTGGTTTAAATACCTGGTTTCATGTAGTGATCAATCTCCCTTCAGTTAAAGGCTCCTGAATCAGGATTTGATTTTGTGGGAGCAGAATTCCTTAAATCCACAAAATTGCTTGTGTGCAAATGCTGGTTAGAGCTGGGATTTCTGATAAAAGCAGTAAGCTACAAGACAGCTTGTGCACAATGTACAGATAGAAAATGATCACCGATCACCCTGAGTCATGTGCTGGTTGTTGGTAATGATGAGGAACTGTTCACAGATGACTTAGAGCTTGTTGTGTTCATAATTGTTTTTATAGCAACATTCTTGTTGTCATATAAACGTTAGAGCTGACTTGCAAGCACAAACAAATATTTATTTCATAGGCAGGAGCACCAAGAAAAAATTCAGCTGTAATGTAGATATAGAGAGAGACATAAACATTACAGTAGGTGGACAACATTACATAGAACAATTGGTTTGTTCACACTTCTCTGAATATTCCTTACTGATGACTATAGATTGTCCAGTTTGTTCATTTTTGTTACTTAATAAATAGCAGTAATGTGGATTCATGTTTTGATGCAAGACTCAGTAGAGTCCTGCTTAGAAATACACATTAATTGGATAGCAAAACACCCCAACACTTACACACTCAACCCCATTTCCCTTAAACGAAGTCTGTGACATTTTTAGAAGCTACACATTCCCTACCTGCGATAAATAATCATTCTCTGGTTAGCCTAATTTTTGAGTTGAATGTTGGAATGCAGATCTAAATTTCCCTGATATGTGGGTGTGTTCAGATCCAGAGATTTGATTCAGCCCTGTGTGTTGTAAAGAAAGGCCCAGAAGTGAATTCTGGATATGAAGCTAACTTCTTCAAATTTCAGGAGCAAATTTGATTCAGGATTTTGGTTTGGCCAACTATACAGGAAAGAGCCATCTGTGAATTTCAGAGGTAGATCTAAATTCCACTAGATCTCAAGGTGTTTGGATTTAGAGTTATGATTCCACATTACTCATTACAGAGTAAAGGATGAATAGCTAAAAAACAGCCCTTCCCTATGGGACCTCACTTCCCATAAGCCTAATTCTGTAGCTTCTCTATACATGAAACTCCCACTGAAGATCACGCACAAGTCAGTTATAGAGTCAGGACACAAAGTTGCAATTAATACAAAACAAACATATGTGTTCGTAGGATGAAAAAAACACCTTTCCATTCAAAATTCAACCTATCAAGTAACCCAGTCGTTCTACACTTTATTAGTTCAAAACAATGTTAATTTTTTTTTTTTTTACTCCAAGCAACATGGCTCAGGATCAAACCGGATAACATATTGGGAAAATAGGAAAGAAACATCTCACTGACTGTGTCCATTTAACTGATTGCAGAAAGGCTTTTAAGTCCATTTGGGAAAATATGAAGTGTGAACAAAGCTTGACAATCGTATATAAACTTTTGAGCACCAACCAAATAAAACACATAGGGCTCCATTTACCACAAAAAGATACAGCTATTCCATAACTTTCCTCTTTTGCATACACTGCTGTTCAGGATGTAATTGTGTGGGTTTGGATGATGGCCTAAAAGTATTCATGTGTAAAAAAATTAATACCCTTCTGTTAAGGGTGACACCTATGAAAGGGTTAACTGTGTCAGTTACCAGTAGCTCCTAGTTAACGTCTTGTTCTCCTAGTAGGATTAGCCAAGGCAAGTGTTTGGATGGTGTAATCTATTTAATATGTATCGTACATATCCAATATATATTGGTTTAGTATATTATTGTCACTTCCAGCCTACAAGGAGAGTTGTGTAGGAGAAGTTTCTCTGGAGTTGGATTGAATTGGTTCATTGTAATTTGGGGGAAAATGTCTCTCTCTTTATCTTTGCATCTTTCTGATCTCCTGTTCCTATATATTCAGTTAAAATGAGTTGAATTAATCTGATAATAAAATCAGTTATTGTTAGATATTTCTTACAAATTCTGGAACACTATTACTCCAAACATGGGAGTAAAATAAACTAAACACTTAATTCATTAGCACATACCATTTTGCTGTGATTCCTACAGCTGGAAAAACAATGGTGGTAATAATATAGAAAAAGCAGCAGGATCCTCTAACAATACCCCTTGACCTCATCATCATTCCTCCTTCCCCACGTGTTATCTGCGGTCCACCATGGTATGTCGTTTTAGGACCACTATATAGCTGGATCTTGAGAACACACAGCAATGGACTGCAGGTAGAACTGGTAATGTAATTCCCTAATGAAAACACCAGTCAGTGTAGACTGTTGCAGCCTCTGATGGACTTTACCCCTTCCCCTGGCTGCTATTAAACCATCTCTCTGATTCAGGAAGAGCCAATGATTTGCTGTTGGGCCAATGTCATATACTATATAAAAAATAAATCTTGGCATGGTACCGCTGGACACTGAGGGCTTTACCGCCCTTGTCCCCTTCTCCACCTCACCTTGCAAATGACTGAGGTTGAACACAGGGCTGGGAATTGTGTTGGTTTCTGCATCTTTCTGGGACATGGCAAATTATACTTCTGCAGTGCTAGTTGAGGGGAAAAGTCATGGAAGTGGCTCCTTTTTACTGATTTCTATGGAGTGTAATCTGTGGGAGATTGTGCATTTTTTCATTGGAATAGAGCCCTTCAGATTTCTTTCACAAACTATATGAAGTTATAAAATTATTCTTTTTTTGCACAAAGCTAACCTAACTTTTCTGAAAGGAGATTGTGCACAAGACATGTACATCCTACTCTAGTTCACAACCACTCATTGCTCTTGGTAGCTTGAAGAAAAGTAACAAATGTTTTAGATAACACTACATCTTAGTTTATTTGGAAACGCATTTATCTCTACTTTGCTGTAGAGTTTCATCATTTTCAGTGGGGTTTTGGGACTGAAAAATCCTTCACAAAATGTAACCTAGTGTAGCTGTAGGGAGCAATTGTCCCTAGACAGATATACTTGATGTTTTAACATGTCTTTTCTCTCTTGAACTTCTATGATTTTCTGATGCGTTGGTATTTAACTTGATACAAATGGTAATAAATGGCCATGGTTTTCAGAAGTGACTAATGATTTTGGGTGCCCAACTTGGCACATCTTAAGCAACATGATTTTCAGAAATTACCAACCAACCAGGCTCTGTTAAATGTCTCAAGTTGGGGCCCCCCAAAACTGAGGCATCTAAAATCATTAATCGCTTTTGAAAATTTCAGCTAAGTATCTTTTAAAAAGCTGTAGTCATGGAAGAAAGTATGTTTCCAAGATATTGTGCGATGGGTTTTAGCCACATGACTCTTACTAACTTTGAGGAGCTAAATGGCTATGAACCCTCACTTGAAATATATACTGTATGAGTCCAGTTTTCAAAGAAAATGGGTGGTATTTGCACAAGCATCCAAGCCTAAATCTGCTTGGATTGTAGTCCAAAGGTGAAATCTCCACTGACTTCAGGGGGAGCAGATTTTTCACAGCTTAACTCTAACTATGCACCATCTAGTAATTCATTGCAAGACTTGTGGCCCTCAGGATCCTTGATTCTACTTCTAAATGAGCCACTGATTAACACTGGACAAGTCACTCAACTTCTATGCCTTACTCAACCCACGTGATAAAAAAGTAGATAAAACTAAGACTTCACTGATAAACCAGACCTTCCAACTGATCTGATTTGTAAATTCTGAAAATGAAAGGATCACTTTCATTACTGATACTTTAGTTCTGTTCCCTCAAGACACAAATTGCAAATGCCTGATTACAACCATGTTCATAGATGCTTAGCTCTCTTCACTGTGCTTGTTCTTTTTAATTTAATTGTGATAAGGTGTTTTACTGCCACTACTGTGGAGATGTACCCCAATCACGAATGCCCAATCGCACAAAGGTCTGTCTTGGGGCTCTCTTTTAATTGAATTTGCTGTCCAGGCCTACCTCCCATCTGGAAAATCCTGCTGATTTCTCCCCATCCCTCAAGAGAATCTGACCTTCCTAGATGTGAATCCCCAGCAATCTCTCCTATCTTGACCAGGGACAGTCATCTACTAGAAAGTCTAAATACTCCTACTAACACCCCCCCATCCCGCATCTCCAAGTCATCTCTCTCCCTCTATCAGTTGCAGCCTTGTGATTAGCATATTATTCAGGACACCCAGCTTTCCTGATTCACCAGTATACACAAAGAGGTGTATGAAATAGCTGATTCCTCTCTCAGACCTTAAATTTGACACTTCTTGAGCAAGTTCCACTCCTAACATTACTTACCTTCTTCCTCACCCCTGTTAATAATATATATAATATACTATAACCATCCAATATTTCTGTTAAGACACTGCACATGATAGAGAATGAGGGACTGGTCCAAAGCAATGAGAAGGTATCAGAAACTTCAGGGGGGTTATTTGATTGTCCACAGTCTGACTGGTTTTTTTTCATGTGCATTTTCCTTAAAGTTTATTCAGATTATAAACAATTCTCTGCTTTGATGCACATTTTGTACTGACCCTGCAACCAACCTGACTCAAATCTGGATACACCAAATTCTGACAGCTCCAGAGGTGAATTTGAAGGTATATGTCAGCACAGATGCACATCCATATAGTATTTTGATTAAAATATTTAAAGTGCTGCTGGTGTCTCGAGGAAAACTTTAATATTTTTTCCTCCCTTATTTCTGATCCCTAAGGTACATTTTGAAGTAACATATGTTCTTTGTTTCTTAGGCCTGCTCCTCTTTAGTCTTCTTGTAGTATGGTTCTTGAAAAGAGTCTGTGACAGTGAAACAGGTTTGTTTGGAGATGTAAATGCTACATATTGGACCAATACAGCTCAGGCAGTTTGGTTTTTATACTATTTTGATTGTTTAGATCTCTGAATCTGAACTAGACACTGCTTCAGCTCTTTCAGAAATGTTTAACATCTACCTTTAGTTACGTAACTCACTGATATTTTGATTGGCTTCCCCTGCTGTAACTATTATTTCCTGTGGGTTTATATGTAATGTTTTGCTTATCCAGTATTAAGAAACGGTTGTTCAGCTTGAAAAACTTTTTTCTTTTAGGAACATTCCATTATCTTTTTTAAACCCCAATGTTTTCACATCAGAACATCTTCATTTAACTACTTACACCCATCACAACATACACCTATAATATGGTATACTAGTCACACAGATGCACCATCTTACTGACAGCTAGTAAAGGGACAACTATATTTTACACATGTTCATCTGCATACCAATAGAAACGTGAAACATCAATGTATCAGACCTAATTGTTTTTCCCTTAGTTTTGAAACCACTGTTTTATGTATTGCTATCTTTTTAGTACCCAAAACTTCACCTTTTATGTTTATTATTTTTAATCTTGAGGACAGAATTTGGGGATGTATTGTCTTTTTATAATACTTGGCAGCTAATGTTTCTCATGGCCGTTAAGAATCTGATTAATAGCCCTTTTCAGCACCCTCCTTCATAAGTTAAATGATCCTGCTGCCGTCATGTTTTTCTCCCCTTGTGGACAGCAACCTATTGAGCTTGTGATACATAATCTCATAGTGCATTTAGTTGTGGTTTTAATAGTTGACTGCACTCTCAGTATTATTGCATCTCTGCAAGGCGGAGGGCTTGCAAGCAAATAAACGATGCAATGTTTGAATTTACACCAAAAACTATAGCTGTGCCTGCTAAGAATTTAGCAGAAACCAATTTCCAAATGGACAGGTAATCTCCATTTGAATTGGGTTGTTTAAAAGCCACATAGGACATTTGACCACAGGGTCACTGAAATGCCATAATAAAATACAAGCCAATGAGCAGGATCTTTGTTGTTCTTATCTGTTCCCTGTGAAGAACTGGAAATGAAACTACACAGCAAAGTAGTCAAATGTTGTACTAGTTCAATAAATATTTTGTATGCAACACCAGTTGTACTAAATTTGCTTCATCTATTGGTTGCACTATATACAGTATCGCTACCCTAAGGTTTCATTCTGAAAAATAGCCAAGACAGGACATTTTTATATTCAGACCTTGGCATGTGTTTGAATGAAATTTGCCAAGGGAAAAAAGGTGTATAACAAATCCTACCAAGTGCTGAATTTTTAAAACCGCTATTTTAAACATTATTTGGTAAAATATACACTTTTCTAATTCACTTTTGCCACAGAGTTGTATTTGTCTTTTCAGCTATTTTTACCTATCTGTTCTGGTCATTGGACAGCTGCTATATATATATTCCTTTATTTTAAGCATGCGCATTGCGTGATCCATGCAACAGTGAAGGATTCACCATTGGTACATTCAGTACATTACTGTAATGTTTACAGTATTTCTTGATTCAACTATCAGGATGCTTTAAAATCCTTTCACCCTACTGTTTTATCCAATGAAAACATTTGAAAAAAAGACAGAATTGGTAGAGAGACTGGAGCTACATGATGTTGCATTGCGTGGCCCCACAACAATCTTTAATAATAGCTATTCCTGCTTTGGCGACGGTGGGCTTGCTTGGAGGAGGTTCTGCCTTCTTTTCTGCTGGGGTACCTGTGACATTCAGAACAGGACACCATTAAAATCTAGAGTTAGACCAAACTATTTCCTTCTGCTTTCATCACAGAGTATCCTGCAGTATCACACAGGCCTACCTTCTAGACCGAGTTTATTTTACATTCTTTGAACAATGTTCTTAGTGATGTTGAAAGATACCAGCCTATGTGATGACTGATCCCACCAAAGGAACAGAAGGCTTGCCCACTCAGGTGAGAGAGGGGCTGCAGAATCCAGACATCAAACTGAAAATGGGGGATTTAGGTGTAAATCATATGGTTAAAATGAGGGAACAAGAAAGGAGAAACCAAGTAGGGAACCCCAGACAACACCCACTACTCTGAGAAGGAGTCCAAGGAATCAGTGGATACTATCTGGCAGCCCTGGAAACTGAAGTGTTCTGTTACAGTAGGGTAATGAGTGGGCACTTCAGTCTCCAGGGCTGCCAGATAGTATCCACTGAGTCCTTGGACTCCTTCTCAGATTTCTACTTTCCTCAATGGCTCTACTTTGTAAGATTCCAGGGTGCCATATATCAGATGCTCACAATAGCTTGCTTGTCAGCCTGGATTGTTCTCTGCTGAATAAAAATGTTGCTGGCACTGACATTGGTCAATGTTATCCTCAATATCTCCCAATGTGTATAATAAGCCAGGATGCTGAAAAGGGATAAATCTTTGGGCTAGTGGGAGAGTCTGTGGATTTGGAATGTTCATATACAGCTGTCATAAACATACAGCTACGGGTAGCATAAAACCCCTCCTTTACCTGTAAAGGGTAAAGAAGCTCAAATAACCTGGTTGGCACCTGACCAAAAGGGGAGAAGATACTTTCAAATCTGTGGGGGAAGGTTTTTGTTTTGTGCTCTCTTTGTGTGTTCTCTCTGGGACAGCGAGGAACCAGGGCAGGGAAAATACATCTCCTAAAGCCATACCTGAACTAAGCATCTAAGATTAGAAATTGTAAGTAAGGAAGGAAATACATTAGATTATCTTTTGGTTTAGCTTGTGAATTTCCCTAGGCTAAGAGGGAGCTTTATTCCTGTTTTTTGTTTGTTTGTTTGTTTGTTTGTTTTGGTAACTTTAAAGTTTTGCCTAGAGGGGAATCCTCTGTGTTTTGAATCTGATTATCCTGTAAAATTACCTTCCATCTGGATTTTAGAGGTGCTGCTTTTACTTTTTCTTTATAATAAAGTTCTGCTTTTAAGAACCTCATTGGTTTTTAGTGTCCTAAAAACCCAAGGGGCTGGTCTGTGCTCACCTTGTTTGTTCTCAAGCCTCCCCAGGAAAGGGGGTGAAGAGCTTGGGGGGATAGTTTGGGGAAACAGGAACTCCAAGTGGTCCTTTTCCTAAATCTTTGTCTAACTCACTTGGTGGTGGCAGCGATACCGTTCCAAGGACAAGGAAGAATTTGTGCCTTGGGGAAGTTTTTAACCTAATCTAGTAGAGATGAGCTTAGGGGGTCTTTCATGTGGGTCCCCACATCTGTACCTTAGAGTTCTGAGTGGGGAGAGAACCCTGACAACAGCACTTTCCCTTTGTTGGACTCAGGAAGAACATCAGTGGCTGGCACTTGATTGATTGAAACTATGGTACATTTTAAAATAGCCAGACTTCTCAGTAATTAAATGTCTCCTTCATATCTTCCTTATGTGGTTTCAGTAGGTAATGATGGTGCCCAATTTATATGGTTTTGTCAGACACTCAGAACCTTCATGCTTTATTCCAGTTCCTCTTTACATACTATTCAATTACATGCACTAGGCTTAGTGTAAAGCCCGGGAAGACTTCTCTGATAGCAGTCCCTTCTTGGGTTGTTACAAAGTCCTGTCTAGAGATCTAGAGCATATTACACCCATATCCCTAGTACATATGGTATTATAGTGTATAAGACTTTCAAGATACCTTCCAACCTGCGTAGTTCCTGTCTTGATAGACAAAAGGGTGGGTCTTTCAATTGTGTTAGCTCATGCAAGCTGGCTTTATCTGACTGAAAAGCCCAGTTAAACATCATTAACATATAGACTAACTGTCACTATCACGTAGGAAGTCGTGCTAGCAGTAGTTAAAACTCTAGACTCCTCATAGGCGGAAACGCAGCCCGATAAAATGGTTTCAAGCACATTAATCTGCATTTTAACAGGATTTTTTAAAATCCTGTTAAGCTCAGTTGATTGAACTAACATGATTGAAAAACACATTCTTTTTACTATCAAGAGAGGTGCCACCTAGCACATATGGATTTAATGTTGATGAGAATTGGAAATCCAAGTTCACTAGGTGATTTTCAAAATCTCAGCCGAAATGGCTAGAAACAGAAGCTGGCATTTCATGTTTTGGGGGGGAATTTTATATTTTTATATTAGTTCATTTTGGTCTAAGCTGTTTTGGGAAAATTTTCAGACACACAATTGGGAGCAAAAGCCCACCTCTCATTGACTTTCAGTGGGAGTTGGGTGTCTAGCTGCCCTCTGTGCCTTTGAAAATCTATCCCCTTCCTTGCCAGAGTTTTTCAAAGACTTTTTTCTTTCCCATTTGTTTTTAAATGTTAAACTCACTGGCAGGCGATCGTGTTACTTTGTCTAAGGGTTTTAATTTGATCCGCAGGAATTCAGCCATCTCCTTGTCTTCCTCTTGCTCTCTGTTGGTGCAAAAAGAGAAAGGGGAAAAAAGTTGTAGAAGAAAAAGCAGCAATTTCTACATAACTAAGAGAAACAGTGCCTTGTGTAAAGGCAAGATCCATAAGAATCTTATTAATAGCAGTAATACTTCTTGGCTCTTATTTAGCACTTTTCATCTAAAGATCTCAAAGCTCATTAGAAACTTAATGAATTGAGAGAGAAATCCTGGCCCTATTGAAGTCAGTGGCAAAACTCTCATTGACTTCAATGGGACTGGGGTTTCATTCTAATGCTCACTGCTTAATCCTGAGAGACAGGCAAATATTAGCCCCACTATGCCCCTCATTCAACAAAGCACTTAAGTAAAGCACATGCTTTGGTGAATCAGGGCCTATACCAGTAGGAAAACCAAGGCACAGAGAAGTTAAATGGCTTGAAAAGGTCACACAGCGAATCAATGTCCAAACTAAAAACCAAACCCAATTGTCTGTAATTCCAATTCCCACCTTCTAACTCAGGGGAGGGCAAACTACGGCCCGTGGGCCGGATCCAGCCCATCAGAGCTTTAAATCTGGCCCACAGGATTGCCAGCCCCATGGCGCAGTGGCGCTAAGGCAGGCTCCCTGCCTGCCCTGGTCCTGCACCACTCCCGGAAGCAGCTGGCACTATGCCCCTGTGGCCCCTGGGGGAGGGGAGGGCAGAGGGATCTGTGGGCTGCCCCCGCCTGCAGGTACTACCGCCTGCAGCTCTCATTGGCCGGGAACGGGGAACCGTGGCCAATTGGAGCTTTGGGGGTGGTACCCGCAGGTGAGGGCAGCGCGCGGCTGAGCTGCCTGCTCCACCCCACCCCCAGGAGCCACTGCCGGACATGCTGGCCACTTCCAGGTGTTGAGCGGGGCCAGGGCAGGCCGGGAGCCTGCCTTAGCCCCCCTGCATGCTGCTGCCATCCTGGAGCCGCTCGAGGTAAGCAGTGCCAGACCGGAGCCCGCACCCTGAATCGTTCCTGCACCCCAGCCTCCTACCCTGAGCCCCCTAACTTCCTGCCCTGAGCCCCCTGCTGCACCCTGCACCCCTCCTGCACCCCAACTCCCAGCCCTGAGCCCCCTGCCACACCCCACACCCCTCCTGCACCCCAACCCCCTGCTGTGCCCACTCCTGCACCCCTTGCCCTGAGCCCCTTCCTGCACTCCACACTCCCTCCTGCACCCCAACCCCCTGCCCCAGCCCTACATTCATGGCCCTGCATACAATTTACCCACCCAGATGTCTCCCTCTGGCCAAAAAGTTTGCCCACCCCTGTTCTAACCACTAAACTGGGCTCCTTCTAGAAAAAATAGCAAAGGAACATTATGGTGTGTTATAATGCTCTCTATGTTTAAAAACCTGTCTAAGTGAAGATTTTGATTTTATTGTCTCATGCTACGAGAACTCTCATTGAAGTCAACTAGTGTTGTGGTTGTGTGAGGATGGCAGGATCAGGCCTTAAGGAAATTAACATCACTTTGCTAGCCTTTAGCATTCATGGAATTTTCATTATTATTCCATTTTTTCAATATTAAAGTGCATATTGATTAAGAAGTATTTCAGTTTAGTGTAGAAAAATCAGATTTATTAAAGTAAAAGTACCAATAAATGTTGCACGTGAGCAATAGAGAGCACTAATGCATTTCCAATTGTATTGAGTGTATTTTCAGTCATCTAGTAGAATGGCTTTTTTGAGGCCTTTATATTCTCTGGCTACAGATGATGCTTCATACACAGAACTAAGGCTTATCTGCACTTGAAATGCTACAGTGGCACAGCTGCAGCCAGGGCCGGCTCCAGGCACCAGCCCACCAAGCTTGTGCTTGGGGCGGCACCTGGAGGGGGGCGGCGCGGTGCTCCGGCTCCGGCCGCCGGGGAGAGCGGAGTCCCGGCTGGGCTCTCCGGCCTCCCCCCGGCACTCTGGCCGCCGGGGAGAGCTGAGCCCCGGCCGGCACTCCACCCTCCCCCCGGCACTCTGGCCACCGGGGAGAGCGGAGCCGCGGCGGGCTCTCCGCCCGGCGCTCTGGCTGCCACTCCGCCCTCCCCCCGGTGCTCTGGCCGCCGGGGAGAGCGGAGCCGCGGCCAGCTCGCCGCCCTCTTCCCCGCGCTCTGGCCGCCGGGGAGAGCGGAGCCCCGGCCAGGCTCTCCGCCCTCCTCCCGGGGCTCCGGCCGGCAGCGGAGCCACGGCAGGCTCACCGCCCTCCCCCTGGCACTCTGGCCAGTCGGGGAGAGCGGCCTGCGGCCGGGCTCAGTGCCCTCCCCTGCCGCGCTGGGGGGGGGGGGGGCGGCGGGAGGCTTTTTTGCCTGGGGCTGCAAAAAAGCCAGAGCCAGCCCTGGCTGCAGCTGCACTGCCATTGCGCTTCAGAGAAGACACTATCTAGACTGACAGGAGGGGCTCTCCAGTCGACATCGGTAATCCACCTCCCTGAGAGGTGGTAGCTAGGTTGACAGAAGAATTCTTCTGTCGACTTAGCACTGTCTATACTAGAGGTTGGGTCGGCTTAACTATGTCACTTGGAGGTATGGATTTTTCATACCCTGAGCAACGTAGCTTTTCAGCTTAGACCAGGCCTAGGAGTCAGGGTTCTATTCTCAGCTCAGCTGCTGATCTCCTGCTTGATTTTGGGCAAATCTTTTCACCTCTCTTTTCCTTCCCACCCTTTGCCTGTCTGAGCTACTTAGACTTTAAGCTCCTTGGGACTCAAACTGTCATTACCATGTTTATAACACCTCAATTTTGGTTGGAGCATCTATGTGTTACAGTAATACAAATAATTAATAATAATAACATGAGCATTATGTATGTGCAAAGACCAGTTTATACATGTATGAAAATCATTTCTTGTTAGAATTCTCTTTCAAGTTTACTTCCCCTATCTAAGGCCAGGTCTACACTCAAAAGTTAAATCAACCCAGCTACGTCACCCAGGGGTGTGAAAAACCCACACCTCTGAGCGACATAGTTAAGTCAACCTATCCCTCAGTGTAGACAGCGCTAGGTGGATGGAAGAACTCTTCTGCTTCTGCCTCTCAGGAAGGTGAATTAACTACAGTGATGGGAGAACTCCTCCCATCACAGGAGGGAGTGGCTCCACGGAAATGCTACAGTGGCATAGCTACAGCACTGCAGCTGTACTGCTGTAGTGTTTCAAGAGTAGACTAGCCCTAAGTCCCTGTCTACATTACAGCAGCACAGCTACAGCACTGCAGCTGTGCACTCCAGCGACACAGTGTAGACATTTTTTACATTGATGGAAAAGGTTTTTCCTTCCACCTCTCTGAGAGCTGGTCTGCACTAGAAAGTTAGCTTGACCAACATCACTTAGGGTGTGAAAAATTCACACTCATGAGATATGTAGTTAAGCTGATCTAAGCCCCAGGATAGGCAGCACTAGGTCAATGAAAGAATTCTTCCATCAACCTAGCTACTGCCTCTCAGAGAAGTGGGTTTACTTCAGTGACAGAAGAACCTCTTCCATCGCTGTAGTAGGTGGTGTCTGTTCTACAGAATTACAGTGATGCAGTTGTAGCACCAGAGCTATGCTGCTGTAGTGTTTCTACTGTGGGAATATAACCTGAGAAGCAGTAGTTAGGGCGACAGAAGAATTCTTCTGCTCACCTACCTGTGTCTACACCAGGAGTTGGGTCAACATAACTGCAGTGTTCAAGGTGCACACTTTTTCTGAGCTCTGAGCAACATAGCTAGGCCAATCTAATTTTTAGTGTAGACCAGCCTGAGTGGGTCTAGCCCAGCTCTTTTCATAACAGTAAAGGGCTCAGATATTTTCTTGTAATAAATTCAAAGGAACATAAATCCTCTGTAGCCATGAGCAGAAGATTAAGTAAAATTATGGAATAGGGAGAGAAAAAGACATAGTGATTCAGTTTGAATGCATTTCATGTGGTCCCAGAGAGAGGCTTTTAGCCTTATGTAATGTTTGAAGACACCAAAGTCAATAGAAATTTTGTCACTACAATGAGAATAGTATCAGGTACTCTATTCGGCCTGCCAAGTCTCTGAAATAAATTCAGGCACTTTCAATCCTTACCTTAATCTCTCCACCTCTGCATCATCTACAAGAAAATCTCTTTTTTGCACCAGTTTATGGATCTTCTGAATCAATTCGTCCTCTCTTTGTTTCTGCATTTTTGTTTTTTCTTTTTCTGATCAGAAACAGAAAGAATAAGACAAGGGTTAGGTACTCAGATTTCTAACAACATTTGACCAATGAAAGTCAATGGCCTTTGTCCAGATTTACAGTAGGTGAGAGCAGGGCATGATCCAGGGTGATACTTTTCCAGGCCATAATATTTGAGACATTTTATTATTTGGTAAACATTCTTCCCTGCTTCTCCTGAAACCACAAGGCAACAATCCACTCTTTACAGAAAGGGTCAGGAGTGAATGGATATAGTGAGAGAGGGAAACATTTTTTTCAGTGCAAATATATAAGGTTAATCAGTAAATTGTGTTCTTGTGTTCATTTGAGATAATTATTGGCAAGTCCTAAAGACCAGCCAGTCCATAAGCCAGGATCTAGAAAGGTGACCCCAAGGCAGGTATATAGGCTCCTGATGAAAGCAAGGCAATGCAGTCCAATGTTGCTACGTTGTTGAGGATGCTCCCTGCTACCTGGTTATTCTGACAGACTGCTTCTGCTCCAGGATGCTCCTGTTTCTGACCTTGGCTTCAGTCTGTGCTTGCTCCTGCTCCTGCTCCAGCACCTGTTCCAGCCACAGCTGGTTGCCCAGCTGTCCTACCACTAGGACACTGGAGTGGGTATCAGGAGATGTGAGTTTGGCAACCAGCACTGCCACTGAGCTGCCATGTGGTGTTGGACAAATCGTTGTTATGACTAGCCAGAAACCAGAAATCTCCGACTGTGAAAATCTTCGTTGTTTTGAAAAACATGTTTTTCCATTTTTCCCAAATCAGGATGAAAAGTTAAAAGTGCAAAATTTTCATGGGAAGGGATTTCCAGAAAAATATCGTTTGGGGAGAATTACAGGGGAATCTTTTTGGGTACCTCCCTGGAAGGCTCTTGGCAACTTCACTTTCCCCCTGCAGGCAGAAAGAGAAATTGACAAGAGTCTTCAAGGCAGGCTGCCAGAGGCTGTGCACCCAGGCTCTGCACAGCCACTTCAGCCTGGCTGCTGGAGAGCCAGGGTGCCCAGCCACCTGCTTTTCCCTTAGGCAGAAAGTGAAATTGACAAGAGCCTTCCAGGTGGGCAGATGAGGAGCCATCATTTCAATTTTCCTAATGGCAAAGCAAATTTTCTGCAAAATTGAAATCTTTTGGCAAAATGAAAAATTTCAATCTTACCAAAAGGCTATTGGAAACTCATTCCAACAGAAAATTCCTGACCAGCTCTAGTCACTGTATCTCTATTTCCCCTGCCACTCTTTGGCTGTCTTGTCTATGTAAAGTGTAAGCCCTTCAGGGCAGGGACTGTCTCTTGCTGCATGTTTGCACGGTGCCTAGCACAATAGCACTACTGTGATATTAATAATAAAACATTCATGAGTTCAGAACCTTTGGTAAATTTTCAATCTAGAAATCCCTCCATGGCACCATTTAGAGTTTATTTTCCTAATCTCCTTAAGAAGAGCATTTTTAAGTAAGGGCACAGTTCCATTAGAATAATGGCAAAACTCTCATTCACTTAATATGGGAATGTGATCAGGCCTCAGATAAGATGGAGCAACCTATGTGACAGCTCTGCCTCTCCCATTGTAATTTGGTACATACAGCAGCCTCAAAACATCAACTTTGATAAGTCAGGCACTAGAATTATTACATTATAGTGGAGCTAAATAACACTATTATTTACCCAAAATTTCAAAAGTCAGTGTCATCAATATTGTCCTAGTTAATCAGGCAAAACCAGAGCCAATTTATCATGACTAGATTGTCTGAAAATGATCATTTCTGTTGAATGATAGATTTGGCTGTCACATGCTAAAATTGTAAATATGAGGGCTTAGGGGAGATATAGTTCAAAGGTATAAAACAAATATAGTTAAGACAAAACTCCCTAGGGCTAAAACTGAGCAAGTGGAGCAGTGATGGGAAAGCTAGAGGCTAATCCTAGCCAGTACATTTCCTTAAAGAATTCAAAATCTTTATGAGCAGAAAAAAAAAGCTTCACATTAAATCAAGAATTTTTGTTTTCAGTAATGGAGTTGTGGAACTGAGCTCAGAGAAACATCAAATTGAGTCAAGTATATTGGGACACACCTACAGTGGGATGCATTCAATATATCTTGTTTATTGACCAAATTTATAAGGGCTCCTAATACATCTAAAAAATCCAGACATTTGAAAAGAGTTGTTTATTGCAGCTTAATGATTTGCCCAAGGGCTCCAGCTGCATTTCCCACTGGAAATTTTTGCAATAAATCCACATCTTTAAAAAATGAGATAAAGGCATTTTGAAAGTTGGCTTTCAGAGCTGGAAAATCATTATTCCTTGGAGAACTGTAAGTTATGGTTTGCCAGTGAAAGAGTAAATAAACAATTTGTAATGCACAACAAGGCTACTTTGTTTTTCACGAGAAATATTTTTAGTTTTGTATGAAAATAATATCTTTTATTCAAAAGATTAAGTGTGCATGTTATCAAATTCTGTCGGTGCTTCAAAGATTCCTTACTGTTAGCTAAAATGGGCATGGGGGGGGGGAACTTGGGCATAATGTCAATGAACGCTTAATCTTAACATGTCCAGCAGCAAAAATAAAAAAGGATACTTAAAACTGACGACTGCTGGACCATGCTGCAATGAGCCAGCCTCCCTCTCCCATCCTGGAAGGGAGCAGCCGCCATTATGACACTGTTACATCAATTGAGATGGAATAAATGGGCCTGAAGAGTCAGCAGTGTTAGCATGACTCTGTCACTGTCCAACATTAAACAGTATTGTGAAGGATGGTCATTTTTTCTGCTTTTGACCAACCAACAGGAGGGGAAGAAGAAACAGGATAGTAAGGTGGAAAAAATACAGCTTTTGTTGATGGAGAATTCCCAGCAGCAGGTCAGTCACAGACGGATGCTCTGGATTGGCAAATCTGCCACAACAGCACTGCTCTGAGCTCTGGTTTATTTTCTGGTCTGGGGTGTCATCTGGTTGATTTGGCTCCTCTCCTACTGGTCTATCTCAGGCTGGGCAGAGCTGGCTAGAGCTGGATGGGCTGTCTCATCTGATTGTGCTGGTGCCATGTGCTACAACTGACCTCAAGATCAAATCAGATGGAAAGCCAAGAGAGCAAGAAGATAGGAGGAAAAGAGTGATGAAGAAAGGGGAACACGCAAGGGAAAGCGAAATAATCAGGATCTCACGTGTCTCTGGTTTATGGAGTGGTGATGACCACGTGACCCTGAGGAAGTGCCAAGGTCTGGACTTGAAGATGATGCGGTAACCTTCTGGGGCCACAGGTGAAGGACGAAGTCCCTGGAGGGGAGTAGGGTGGAGGTCTACAGGCCTTTTCCCTCCTTCAGGAATTTCCTGCCAGTTCACAGGTCCTCAGCCCAAAAAGTCTCTTTTTAAGACCTCTGAAAAAGGGGTTAATGGACAGAATAGTCCATCCTCTCATTATTTGTTCACCAGCAGACCTAACTTCTGACATATCACATATAGTCCATTAACTTCCAGTACAACACTCTTCTTGTTTACCAGGTATGGTCTCAACACAGTCTTTGAATTATATCAGTAAAGCCCTTTTGTTTAGAGTAACTTTTAGTCTTTCTATTTTTCACTTTTACTAATTTGTTTAAACAATCTTATGTAATAATCGCAGTTGGACTTCTGTTACCTTTTTCCATCACCATTTGTTAATACAGATGACTGAACCATTCATAAGCTTCCATCCATTTTCCTCACTTGGACTCACCACTGGAGCAGGCCTGCTATGCTCCAATTGTTACAACACCATCATCTTCTCTATCTCCAGGTGAAGAGCCATCAGTGGGATCAAAACACATGGATCCACTTATGGAAGGCCAGGTGTGAAAGGGGAGAGGGCTGTGGGGACAAGCTCACATGCAGATTGTCCCCCCCGTCCCACCCTTTTGGGGATCTGCTGACAAGTAAATGCAGATTGAGTGTTAGGGCTGGGTCCTACAGTCCTTATTCAGCTATCTCCTTTTACCAAAAGCCTGCTCCTGTTCCCATTTAAGTCAGTACAACTGTCCATTGAAACCAATGGGAGCAGGAGCTGGCTCATACACAGCACAGTCAAAATATACATGAAAGGCATGATGATTGCTTTAGTCCATGTTTCTCTAGGCTGGGAAAATCCCAGTGCTTGCATTTAGTTCTGTGCAAAGGCCAAGCCCTATATTTATTAATCCCATTGCTTGCTCTTAATACTCAAATATTCTGTAGTGAATTTGCCAACAGCTGGCACTGCTGGAAATAAATGCTAAATAGTCTAATATGCAAATATGACTCTGAGAAAGGATTGCTGGGTGTCACGTTGTGCACAGTGTGCTAAGGTCTAAGAAAGAACTGCTGTAGATTAAATTTTACTTATTTAAGATTTTGTAATTTAAGCTGTGGGAGGGTGTTTCTAGGAAAAAGTAGTCCTAAGTATAAGTAAACAGATGTTTAAATGAGAGGGTTGGCTACAGGATGGGTACCCGCATGGCCCCACAGTATGCCAACATTTTTATGGCTGACTTAGAACAACACTTCCTTAGCTCTCGTACCCTAACGCCCCTACTCTACTTGCGCTACATTGATGACATCTTCATCATCTGGACCCATGGAAAAGAAGCCCTTGAGGAATTCCACCATGATTTCAATAATTTCCATCCCACCATCTACCTCAGCCTAGATCAATCCACACAAGCGGTCCATTTCCTGGACACTACTGTGCTAATAAGCGATGGTCACATAAATACCACTCTATACCGGAAACCTACGGACCACTATACTTACCTACATGCCTCCAGCTTCCATCCAGGACACACCACATGATCCATTGTCTACAGCCAAGCTCTAAGATATAACCGCATTTGCTCCAATCCCTCAGATAGAGACAAGCACCTACAAGATCTCTATCAAGCATTCTTAAAACTACAATACCCACCTGCACATCATCAGAGATCTACAACCTATCCTGAAAGATGATCCTTTACTCTCACAGATCTTGGGAGA